AGCCAGTCCTCACAGCTGATGGGCTTCTAGTAAGGCCCCAGATGAGTTTCACTAGTGATGGGGAAATCCCAACTGATAGATGTTGAGAACTGGAACTGGACAAGAAAGTGTGAATTTCTCTTTCAGGAACATTAACTTCACGCTATGACTTGTAGAGCATCAAAGGGCCTCATAGTTCTCTGTTGTGTCTTAAAGCATGTCTCACCCTGATGGTTTTCTTAATAACTTCAGAAAAATTTGTTAGTGGGAGCCCAGACTGAGACCAACAACGAAGCTAAAATCTCTCAAACTGAAAGGGAATTGAGGGGGAGTTTTTTGTTTTTTTTTTATTGGCTCCAGAAATTGTGCCCCAAGAGAGCTGTGTCATTATCATAAACGTCTCTTATTTAGTTTTGGGTTTTTTTTGGGGGGAGGAATGTTAGTATGTTAGTTTTCTATAGCTGAGTGTATCAAATTACCAATGTCTCTTATTTAGTTTTGGGTTTTTTTGGGGGGAGGAATGTTAGTTTTCTATAGCTGAGTGTATCAAATTACCAAACTTTAATGGCTTAAACTATACAAATTTCATCTTATAGTTCTATAGGTTAGAAGTTCAACATGGGTTTCACTGGGCTAAAAATCAAGGTGTTAGCAGGGCTGCATTCCTTTCTAGCAGGGGTGGGGAACCTTTTTTCTGCCAAGGACCATTTGGATATTTATAATGTCATTTGTGGGCCATACAAAATTATGAACTTAAATATTAGCTATATTTGGTCAAACATTTAATTAACTCACCTCTAATTCCATGGCAGGGTCAGACCAAATAATTTCTTGGGCCTTATGTGGCCCACAGGCCCAATGTTCCCCATCCCTGCTTTCAAGGGAAGGATTTATTCCCTTGCCCTTTTCAGCTTTTAGACGCTGCTTAGATTCTTTGGTTCATGGCCCACTTCTTCCACCATTAAAGCCAGCAATGGTGAGTCAAATCTTTTTTGAGTAGCATCTTTCTGGCCATTATTCCATCATCATCATCTCTCTCTCTCTGACCAGAGCCAGGAAAGGTTCTCTGCTAAGGACTGGAATTAGATGGAATCCACCAAGAATCCGGAATCCAAAATAATCTTCCTATCTTAAATTCAGCTGGTGAACAACCTTAATTCCATCTGCAAGCTAATTCCCTTCTTCCATGTAACACAATATGTTCACAGGTTCCAGGAATTAGAGCATGGACAGTTTTGGGAGACCATTGTTCTGTCTACAATGGTTGATTAAAAATCAGGAGCTAAGAATCAAGAAGACATAGGCATTAGAGTGAAAAAATGGACCAGAAAAAAAAAATGGCAACAGGTTCTTGAGATCTTTCGTCAAAAGGAAAGCTGATAAAATGTTAAAGAAGAGGGGGGAAAAGTTCTTCTCAAATAAGAGCATGTTTATTTATTTTTTATTTATTTATTAGTATTTTATGTAAGTTGAGTTCAGGAAAAAAATAATATGTCTTACTTGTACATATTCTTTGGTGCTTTTGTGTGTTTTATGGTGCAGAGTGGACTAGCTTGTTCCTGTCTTGATGCCCAGTCTGCTAAAGAGATGCTCTGGTGGGACAGTAAAGGTTGGCCTTAGCAAGTTGTGGGCCAGGTTATCAGCACTCCATACTCTTGAATGGGACAGATGTCTCCCCAATATTATGCATTGTAGAATGTTTTCGAAAGTCACCTCAACCATTGAGATTGAAGATCTTTCTACTCCCTGTACCTTTGTGGGTGTGAAGTATAGAGCTTAAGCTATAGGAATATGTATGTTATAGACCAAAGCCATGGGCATAAGGTGTGGCTTTGTGGGGACAGGTATCTTCAGAATGTGATGGTAGTTATGTCTGAGTACCTGGGTGGTAATGACATGCCTCTAGTGGAGTACTAGAGTTAAAATGGGTAAAGCTGTATCTGAGGTGTGGACATGGCATAGTAGCCAGGGGCTGGGTCCTCTGCTCTGCCTGTTATCTTAGGTACTGGAACAAACACTCATTCAGGTTTGCCATGAAGGGGATTCTACCCCATTTTGATTGGCAGACCTACACTCAAAATCCCTCAACGGGTGACATTGTGTGGGTCCATAGGAATCAAAACTAAAGCAAGCCCTAGAACTGAAGAAGATTCCTGGAGGCCACTGGGCATGCTGTAGTTTGTGGCTTGATTGTAAGGAGGGTTACTGTTTCCAGGAAAAGAAATGGGGCAAATAAAGCAGGAAGCAACCATATACTCACTAACAGAAATATTTATAATTTCACAACCGATATGGCCATATCATCTAAATAGCAACCCTGACTTTGGTTTAGCCAAATCCATGGGAAGTTTTTCTTTTCAGTTCTCAAAACCCAAAAGATACTCACATAATTCTCTCCCAGGCAAAGAGGAACTTCCCATTATATCTATCCTTCTAAGGGATGCTACCCCTGGTGACTCTAAAAGAATTTGCTATTCTTATTGCATAGAGAATGATCCCTTTTCTCACTAAAGAGAAAAAATACATACATTTAATTTTTTTGTAGTGGTATATATCCTTTTATATCATGTTCATCTAAATATTTCATGAGATTCTATTGGATTCAAATTGTATTTACCAGCTGATTCCAAACTCTCAAAACCTTCTAAAGACTGTAGCTTCAAAAAGTAGCATGGGGTAATATTACCATCCAGTTTTCAAAACTTTTATTTTAATTGCTATGACCATGTCTAGCATATTTATTTATGCTAAATTGACTGATATTCCCCCAAAGTTAAATAATAGCTTGCAAGTAAACTTGATTTCCCTATTTCAAAAATAACAATAACACATCATTATTCATAGCTATTGTCATATCTGCCAGTTGATAAAGTAGGAGAATATTGTGAAAATCAGTGACAAATTCCAAGAAGCCATTAGGAATTAGAGAAAAGATTGAGGAAAAGAGGAGTTGAATAAAAGTATAAGAAAGCATTTACAATGGCTTTCCTGTAAGCCCTTTGAAGTTATTATTCATTCAGTAATAGATTTTTATTGGAGCTACTAAAGCAGTCATCAAAGTACATACTGGAAATACAAATAGGACAGGCAAAGATTATTTTAAAAGATATTCGGTCACTTGATGAACAGTTATTGATATAAGTGATAATAATAATGGTAGGAATGAAAAGGCTCAGCAGAGGAAATGACTAGTCAAGGTCTCGTGGATTTAATATTTGCACTATTTTACGCCCACATCCTCTTTCTAAAGATATATAATCTTCTGCCAGGGCTGGTGTATTAGTTATTAAGATTGAAATGTCTAGACTAGATTGACATTCTCAAGGTTCTTGGCAGAATGATTCACTTGGGTATGAAACCACATACCCCCAAAACAATCACACTTTGGAGTCCAAGGTGATATCTGGTATTTCTCGACATTTGCAATTTTAGAAGTGAGTAACCACAGAATGGCAAGTTGCTCTACATGGTAATCTGATAAAAACCGTCAAGGAAGAGGCAGAGAAATTAAAATGAGTTTATGTCTCTATCTTCTAGTTCAAACGTCCTTTCCCACTGATATGACTAGTACTTGTAGTCAAAACAGTGTCTATCACTTTTTAAATGATTAAGTCACACAGTTGAATTTTTGGTTCACTGACTCTGAAGTTTGCAGTGTTTAACCTCAAATTTAAATTTTTTCCCCTGCCAAAAATATAGCTGTAGTTTAAGTGTTTAAAAACAACTGGAGTGGAACTACCAACTACTAAAATGAGTTCAGAAAAAATGAAAGATACATTACTATAAACACGCCTAAAGTTTTTTTCACTATCAAAAAAAAAAACACCTCAATAGGTAAATATAATCAAATACTATTAGGAAAATAAAAGGCATCCTTTTAATTTCGCAGATAACACCAGGCAGTGTTCTATAAAAGGGTATGATATGAATTATACATGGTGGAACCAGCATCTTGGAAGGCAAATATTTGAATTAAAATCACCATTGTGAATTGAAGTGCAATAAAGAAAATACATAAACACAATGGAGCTCAAAGAGGTATTTAAATGCTAGTATATATGGTACAGAAGTTTTACAAACCCAGTTAGCTTTTATCTAAGATGCAGAAATTAATATGAACAACTTAGTAAGTAAAAGTAAACATTATGTTTTTATATCATCAGAAAACTAAGAAGTTAGTTACCCAGAAAAAAATAAATATAAGCATGGAAAAAATAATGAAAAGAGAAGGCGAGGAAAATATTATAATGATGATGTATATCATTATACATTTGTCTAAACCCATAGAAAGTACAATACCAAGAGTGAATTCTAATGTAAACTATGAACTTTGGGTGGTTATGATGTGTTAATGTAGGTTTAGCCTCAATAAAAAAAATGTACCATCCTAGAGAGTGAGGTATGAGGTTGATAAAGGGGGGAGGGGGAGGCATACGTGGAGGCAGAGGGGTTATATGGGAAATCTCTGTACTTCTTTTTAATTTTTTATAAACCTAAAACTGCTCTAAAATATAAAGTATTAAAAAAAGGGCATTAAAAGTTTAGAAATCAAACAAACTTCTGTTTTCTCTTAAGAAAAATGTCATAAAGCACAGAAGCACTATTAGAGAAAGACTAGCATTACTGGATATAAGATTTTGAGAAATGCAATGTGCTTATGATTTTTTCATTTCCCTGTGAATGGTTGTTTCCTTAGACACACTTGTGAATTTAGGGGAAATGAGGAGATTTGCAGTAGAAAGGCAAAGAAAAAAGAAAGATACTAGTATTCCCAAAGGCAATAAGCAGGCAGACATTAGATTGAAAGCTAGACTTCGAAATGATTTTCTAAACGCTTATATTTTTCCCTTGAAAACTTTTAGAAACTGGCCTACCAGTTTAAAAAAAAAAATTTCTAGTCAGAAAGAAAGAGGAAGAAGGAAAGTCTTACCCTTTTGGTTCCAAGGGTTGATGGGAAGAGAAAGAGAGGGGCAGGTAGAGGAAGCCAGAAAGAAACTCATGTCTATGTCTCCCCTTTCCAGGCTGAAGTGCTACTGGGGAAAGGTGTGTGACAGGGGATGAGATGCTCTCAAAAGTCTCCTGTCAATCTGGGCCCGACATAGCAGGTAAATGTGGTGCTGATGAGTGATTAGGCAGAGAGAACACCTGAGTTTGGCTTTCTTCTACATCTGCTTCCCGAGTGTCAGAGTGTCATAAATAGGATCTACAAGTGCCTGTCTTTCCTAAGGGGGAATGCGGAAGAAAGTTGAGAGTTAGGCTGTGGGCTGCTCCGTGGAGCTGCGAGGCCAACCAAGGCTCAGTAGCTGTGTAATCTAGTGCCGAAGCTTACTGGGGGGCTGAGTCAGCAGGAAGATGACTGTGCCCTGACCAAGTCCAGCGTGTTCAGGCCCTGAGTTCCCCAGCTCACGCTCGCACAGCAGATGCCTGCACTGCTCAGATGCTCTGGGTGTCCTTCCATTGGCCCAGGAGGCAGCCCAGGCCAGCACTCTCCACAGAGTTCTGAGAGTTTTCAGAGGCGACCCTGCCCACAGCCTCTAACGAGGTCAAATCAATCACGTGCCTCAAAGCGGCAAAAACCATTTCTGAAAAGGATGAATAAGAGAGCCTCTAAGATCCCGCTCATTTTTACCAAAGATTAATATGTTAGTGGATTTAGCTTTTCTTTTTGTATGAGATCAAATTTCAGACTTTTCTTCTTTTATCCCCTACGTTTTAGGTTTATATCATCAAGATGATCTGTTGTTAAAGAGAAGTGAAGAGGCTATATTTTCTTTTCAAACCTGAGTGAGGATGTGAATAAATTGGCAATTCTATTTCATGCATTTTATGATTCTTTACTTCCTCAGAGCTTTCTAATCTTTTTCTGGAGATGCAGATTTTCTTTGTTCATTTTCCAAATAAAAATCTCCTTTCTTGGCTCCCCTGACGTCGACCTCCTTAGTCTTTGCCTATATATCCAGATGTCTCATTTCACATATTTTTGTCCCCAGATCTTTAAACTCAGCCACTTCTCAAGGCTCAAATTTTGGCACCACATCCTGATTTATTCTGCATGAAGTATTGTTTCATGGAAAAAAATTTGATATACAGCATAAACTATTTTATAAATAGTTTTAAATATTTTATAAATAACTATTTTATAAATAACTGTGTTATGACCAATGTATTTTATTGCTTATAATTTTGCATTGAATAATTGTTCCACTGTTGTCCTTAAATGAGTTCATGTCTTTATAGTTGACCTATATTGACCATATCTAATTCTTTCAAGAACAGTGACTGTCATCAACAGGATCCTGCATAATCAAAGGTATTTATTAGAAAACTGAACTGCTTTGCTTATGATGAATAGACCAAGAAGACATTCGAGAGAAATCAAGAAAATATTTTTCTTTAAAATAAAAAGAAACAAAATATAAGAAACAAGTGGTTAGCAGCTAATTTCATGGTAAAGCAGTAAGAAATACTGCTTCTTAAAGAAAGACAATGGACAAATAAGAAATTGTCTTTCCAACTAGCCAGGTCCAATTTTAAGTTTCTATGTCCACTTTCTTTCTTCCAAATGAATGGAGCATTTGAGAAAAATTATAATAAAACAATGGTTTGCAAAGCCCAGTTGAGAAAGAAAATTCCATTTTAAGAACTACAAATCAATGTGTTTTAATGTAAGCAGCATTGACTGGCCCTGTACTATATGATAGATAAATACAAAGAGGAAAACAGCATGAGCTTGTCCTCAAAGAGCTTTCAGTTTAACGGGGAGGACTAGGCAGAAACTAAGGCTAGACAGAAGTACAAAAAAGAGGAAACGTATTTTTAGGCAATGGGGAAGGCTTCTGTCAGGAAATGTCCAATGAGTTGGACTCTGTAGACAGACAGACTTTGGGAAATATTCTGAGCAGAGAGCATAGATGCAAAGGCATTTCCATAAAGCTTATTCCCTACCTTTTTGCTTTTATGAATAATAATTAACTGTGATATTAAAATAATCCTTTTAACTGTCATACAAAGGTATCAACATTATTTATCAACACATGTGATGTTTAAAGTAAAAACACAGAAAATGTAACTTGATAGTGTTAATAAAAGGCTAATATCCAAATCGACTGAATGGCGGAACAACCGGTCGCTGTGATGAGCACTGACCACCAGGGGGCAGACGCTCAATGCAGGAGTTGCCCTCTGGTGGTCAGTGCGCTCCCACAAGGGGGAGCACCGCTCAGCCAGAAGCCAGAAGCCGGGCTCACAGCTGGTGAGTGCAGAAAATGGCAGGAGCCTCTCCCGCCTCCTCAGCAGAGCTAAGGATGTCCGACTGACAGCTTAGGCCCACTCCCTGAGGGCTTCTGGACTGTGAGAGGGCACAGGCTGGGCTGAGGGACCCCTCCCCCTGCCGAGTGCATGAATTTCATGCACTGGGCCTCTAGTTAAGAAATAATTAACCATTTTAAAGTGTACCATTCAGTGGAACTTAGTGCATTCACAGTGTTGTGCTACCATCACCTCTCTTTTCTCATTCCCAAAGCCATTATTAGCAGGAGCCCTGTTTACTAGGAGTCTTCTTTCTCAGTTTTCACGCCATAAATTTGGGCATTTGAAAATAAGGCTGGGAAACTGGAAAAATAACTTATTTAGAAGACATCCACCAGTAATTCAAGAAACTGAGGATATATAAGATAAAATGCTATAAAATTATAGTCCTTTCAGTATTATATTTCTATTAAAACTATTCAAAGGCAAAATTATTTTTTTCAGTATTTTTTATTTATAACATAAATATCCTATATAATAAAAGCCCAGTGACTGAACAGTGGAACTAGAATGACCAGTTGACCTGTAGCTATGATGCACACTGACCACCAGGGGGCAGACGCTCAACACTGGAGCTGCCCCCTGGTGGTCAATGCGCTCCCACAGTGGGAGCACCACTGGGCTGTATGGGATGAGTGGTGGTCCCACAGCAGGCTGATCCCTGCAGGCCACGCCCCCCCCCCACCTGTGCATGAATCCTGTGTACTGGGCCTCTAGTTATCAAATAACGTGGCATATTACAGGTGCACCAACTGCCTGAGTCATAAATATTTTTTTAAGTGGGTATCTGCTTTAAAGTTAATTTTAAATGTCTTTTTAGGACCTTTGGGAAAGATAGTATCTTGAATGTAAGTCCAATTGAAAACTGTCTCAAAATAAAAGGAAATATAAGAATAGATGAGAGTATTTTTTTCTTGGTGTACTGGTGAAAATTGGGGAAGAAATAATGCGTTCTGTCAGGAGAAGCTCTGATGTCCATGAATTTTATTTAGTGGTTTCTATTTATTTCCAGAGTCACCACACCTGGTCTACAGCAGCAAAGGGGACCCCAGCCAGATGTTTCCAAGCTGTCCCTTGGCCTTCCCAAATTAGGCTTCTGCCAGAATTTCCCCTTCCCCAGCAAGGTCATACCACTTCTTAGGAAGGAATTGTGTATTGGTTTTTTATGCCTTCCTCTAGGCTGGCTTCTGCATTATTTTTAGAAGCTTCATCGAGGAAAACCTGAATAGCTTACCTGGACAGATGTATTATTGTTAGATCATGTGGTAAGAACTCAGAATATCATTGCTTCCTTTGACTATCTATAAGGGAATAAGATTAGGGTTCCCTATTGTTTCAAATCCTCCTCCACCCTGCATTTTGCCCCTCGCACCTAGGTTGTTTCTTTCTCTGCCTCTGGCTGGTCCCTGACCAGTCACACCACGCTGCTGAAATCTACCAGTCCATGTCGACCATGATCTCTTAATGTCTAAAAGAATTGGAGACTTTGGGATACTTATCCTACCTGATGCCTCAGCATCGTCTAGTGACGCTGTGGGCAAATCTCTTCTCCTTGAACTCTCTTCTCTCTTGGCTTCTTTGATGCCATGCTCTGTTCTTACCTCTGCTTTTCCTTCTGTTCTTGGACTTTCTTCTACCCATCCCCAAAGAATTCTTTCCTCATATGTACATACTCTTCCACACAGTGGGTTTTCTCTTCCCATTGATGTAGCTTTTGACACAAGTCTGACTCTTTACTCCAGGTTTCTCTTCTATACCACCACATCCACAGGTTCAGGGCCTCCTGGGAATTACCACTTGAAAGTCCCATAAGCACCTCTCATTCAAACTCTTAAATCTAAAGTTTTTTGCTGCATCTTATTTCCTACTTCGGACTCTGAGTCGGGAATTAGGGGTTACTATACATAAGCTACAGTTGACAAAGTCAATAGAAATTACTAATGCCTAACAAGATATGGATATTTCTGTCATGAGCATGCATTGTTTGTATAATTAATAAGCCAAAATGTCCTTGATAAACTCATCATTCTCAGCTATCAATTTTATACATTAGGACCTTGAAATTTCATTTGACATTCTGCCTGCAAACTCCAGATTGGAATAATTGCTTTCTGCTTTTCTAAGCAGCAAGCATTTTGCATTTCAATGAGGCTATGATAGGAAATAATTCAATAAATATGGTCTACTAGTATGTATGAGCCTTATCTATCTATGCTGACAATAAACTAAAATCTTGGTTGGGTGCTGACACAGAGATGTTGGTAGGAATAGAAATCAATCCCAGGAAAAGATTTTTAGGACTGAATTTTAAGTAGCAGAGCTTTGGGTTTGGAAAGTATTTTGCTTAACAGCAATAGCACCAAATACAGTCAGGAGAAATGATTGTTAATTATTTATGCTGACAGTGTCAAACATTTATCATGATTATTTTATGCTTTATATGCCTTTTTCTCCATACATTAGGCAATGTATACCAGGAAGTGAACAGCACACCAGTCACTCTTTTGACCTGTGGAGAGCATTACTTAATTCTATAAAGTCTCAAGTAAAAGTTTTAAATCATGAGTTGACCTTTGACCTGTGAAGCTTAAGTAAATTGTTCTGAGCCTTTATCCTAAATTTCTCATTACACAGCCTGAGCAGGCACTGGAAAGGGCAGTTAGATTTATAAACAACTCAAGACAGACCACTTGCAATTGATATTAAGATCTCACATCATTCTGTTTTCACTTTATTTAGCCTTTATGTTTTGAAAGCTGTCTTTAGGCTCAGAACTTAAAGTGGTCTGGTTGTGAACAATGGAAATGTGCAGCATGGAATGTTGAAAATATTCTCACCAAACAAGTGCAGCAGTTTTACTATAATTAGCTAAAGGGCATAACACTGTAAAAAAGAAAATGAACCACTCATTTGCTGTCATCAAAAATGAGGAAATGGCTTAGGCAAAAGCTGAAGTCCTTTTGAACATGAGACGTTCATTGATTTGGCAGTGAGAAGGATCTTGTTTGTCCTGCTAGTTCTAAAGAACTATTTATCCTCAAATAATTCCAGTAAGGAAGGTGCAAGGAAAAAAAATCATCAATCTTAATTTTTTCTAAATACCTCTCCTTATGTTATTATGTTTTATGTCATATCTAAAATGTCGCCTTGATTTTTTATTTTGATATGGGCTGCATCTTTGTATTTAACACAGGTTGTCTCTTTAATATTGAAAATAAGACAAATGCATGCTATAAAGTTAAAATTGTTTTGAAAAACTATATATTGTTGCTGTCATAAGAAATTAAGCCAGGAATAGTATCATGGTCTCCACATTCTGATCTTTAATGCATTCCCACCAGCAATGTATGGGCTATGCCACATCCTCACCAGCATTTTATACTGTCAGTAATTTTTATTTTAGTCATTTTAACATGTGTGCAGTGGTAACTCATCATGATTTTAATTTGCATTCTCCAACGGCCAGTGATGTTGACTATCTTTTTGTCTGTTTATTTTCCTTCTGAATATCCTCTTTGCTCGTTTTCTCACCTTGTGTTAATTGTATTGTTTTCTTACTATGGGATTTTGAGAGTTCCTCTTTCATTCCAGTGCACGTTTCTTGTCAAATATATGACTGCCAACTATTTTCTCTCAGTTGGTAATTTGTCTTTTTATTCTCTTTGATAATTGATTTTTGACAAAGTTTCAAAGGCTATGTAGTGGAGAAAGTATAATCTTTTCAATAAATAGTCCTAAAATAAATGGACATTCATATGCCAAAAAAAAATGAACTTTGATTCATAGCTTACCTCATATGCAAAAT